AGAAAGATCCTTACACTGCAGCAAGCAGAACAGTGAGAGGCATAGTGGTGACATGACAAATCTCAACCCAATTCTCATGAAATAGGCAATCAGAGGCAGTAGTACCTACAGTACCAGCAGAGATCTCACACTACTGATATATAGCTAAGAGACTATAGGCACAGGAGAACCTAAACACCCTGCTATTTTTAGGAGGAAATCAAGACAAAAAAGGTCAATTTTCATTATAACGTTGGCACAATTAAAATTTCGTATGTTTCTTATAACATGGCAAATGTTCACATAACCAACATTTATTATGCATTTGATACTAAAGGCCCCATTCACAACGAATCCGTTAGAATCCAATTTCCAATGGATGTTAAAGGATGTCAACTGAAGGTAACCCAGGTGTGAATGGGACCAGTTCACATGGCTGCTTTGCATTGTGTTGCAGTGTGCTGAAAAAAAAATAGACCATGCTATACTTTTTTCAGCGCAATGTAAAGCAATGTGTCAAAAAGGAATATCAACGTAATGGAACAGAATGCAAGTAAATAATAATAGTAAAAAATAGCTTTGTCTACTCAGGACAGGTCAAGTAAACTAAAGATTGGCAAAAAAAGAAAAAGAAAACCTTTTTAAAACGGAAGTAAAAAAAACTCCATTGACTTATATCTGTGAAGGTTCTCATTCATCCAGGTCATGGTATATCTGTAAAAAAATAAGTCAAGGCAACTGGACTTGCTATATTTTTCTTGAAGACATTTCACTGGTCATCCAACCAGCTTTCTCAATTCAGAATGACATGTACAAAAATTCTCTGGGACTAAATATGGTGAATGTTACTCCAATCCACATAATCTGTTGGTCGCAACCCAGCTGTTGATTGCGTTTGCATAATTGAAGCTAGGAGGTGTTAATAACCTGCCCAGAGAGAGGTGTTAAAACAGAATTGTATGTGGGAGACAATAGATGTGTCACACCCCACCTCTATTCAAGCTTGGCTTCTCCATCTTTACATAAATGGCCTCTTTTGACTTGTGTTTTTGGTCCGATTTTGTTGTAAACCGGGCCTTAACCTAATATTACTCAAGACCTCCAGCTGAAAAGTGATATGTTTGTCTCAAAGAATGATTGGCCTCAACTGTCATTTATAAGATTTCTCATATGCATTTCTACACAAACATAACAATGTCCCTAGTGTAATTATAACAGCTTTGCACTGAAATATCAGATTCTTCATAAATAATAATAGGGCTACCACTAACTAATCGATTAATCAATGATAATCGATAATGAGAATAGTTGTCAACTATTCTCATTATCAATTAGTTGGTTGGATCCCCTAGCTCTCTCCTCCACGCTGGGAGGAGGACACGGCAAGCAGAGAGAGGGCAGGTGCAATAGCCATCCTGCTATTGGCTATTGCAATTTGAAATGGCCAATAGCAGGCTGGCTGCTGTATTTACTTTCAGCTGCCGTCTGCAGTATCTTGCCACTGGCAGCTGTCATTCCCTGCCTGAATCTATTCAAGCGCCACGTGCTTACAAAACATTTTTTTTGTTAAATTATAAAAAAGGTGGGGAAAAAAAAGTCATTTTCTTTTTCAGACTGACAAATTGTCCTGCGGGAGGTGCATTGCAGTGCCATTCATTTCAATGGCACCCGAAACGCGCCTCCCACCCACAGTGTGATCGCCCGCACTGGAATTCACGGTATCTCAATACTGTGCGTTCCAGTGCAGTGTGATTGCAAACAATTGTGTATGCACTTTTATTTTGAAGAAAATTATGTTTCTAACACTGCATTTGTGTATTTTATTTTAAATTGAGGATGGTATTTCTTTATTTTTTTAATACGATAAATCGATTAGTTGAAAAAATAATCGTCCAAATAATAATTAGTTCCTGTCCTTAATAATAATAAATAAACTCAGTCATGACTGGCTCTATTTAAAAGGTGAATTGGCTTGTTATAATTATCAAGAAGGGAAAGGCCAAATCTTTCAATTTCCCTTCTATACACAACAGACAATTCAAACTAGTGATAAAAAGACCACGGCTAATAAAATCAGAGGGGACCTCCAACTACAAAGCTCAATCACTCTAACAGAACAACCAAACAAAAACAGATTACTTTGGTTGAACAAGCTTAATAAACTTTACTTTCTTCTAGACACTCATTTACAGAACTGTTTTCCGTTAAGGCTTTCATTTATGATCAGTCTTCCATTTCCTTTCACAAGAAAAAAGCTCTACTGTGCGAGAAAGACTCAGTTAATATAGTTAGACATTTATTTCTGTTGTAACTGGTATGTTTTTCCATTATAATACATGGTGGATAGAGAGTCAGACAAGTCTATAAACGTTTGTATAGTATAGTATCAGGACAATAATGCTTGTCCGCACCCACTGAGACTAGCTAAATAACAAACAGCAAAACAATAAGGAAGCGCACAGGATGCTTACAAAATTGACTCAAGTACAGGAGAGCTTCCACTTTTGCAGCCAAATTGGGAAGACACCTATTTATATTTGTTTCATGCTCCCATGCATATGGCAGAACGTTAAAAAAAAATGTAAACAATTGCGGGTTACCTTTATAGATGCTCTTTGCTGAAAACTCTAGGACAGAAAAAGACTAATTTCTCCCTGTTTATGAGATGGCGGGGCAATTGTCTTTGCCATAATCACCCTGTCTGCACTGTGCTGGCAGACCTCCATTATCAGCAGTAAATTAGTTGTGCAGGACTGTCTCCCCAAACAAAAATGTCCCTCAGTCGGTCTCTATATCTGCACATTGCCCATAACCATACTCCAAAGAAACAGCTAAAAACGTTAAAAAAAATATATATTTTAAAAACAATATAATTGTGCATACTTTGTGATTGGAAACACAACAAACATATTTTCAGAGCTCTCAAATTCAACTGCAAAAGTGGAAATATACTTTAGGCAGTGCATACAGGAAGATTTGTGGACACTGCAGAAATGGTATACAGAAAGGTTGTGGTTTTGCCCAAATAAAAAAGTAATGTGTTTGGCTACTATGAGCAATGGCTCCATTACTGCTTCACGATGTATAAATTAGACCACGTGGCAGTCAAACAAACACATGTATCAACATTTACAGTAACAGAGCTCATGAGTAGTGACTCCTTCTATAAATTAATGGCTCCGTCAAAGGACAAAGCAAGCCCGAAGTCAGGGAGCTTCTACTGTACTATCATTTACATAATCCACAGTGCATGCTCTGGGAATCCTTTGTCACGTATTAAGCGTTTACTTGTAGGGTAAAGAATGCCTACATATATTAAAAACCTAAGTTTAAACATTTATGAAATATAAAATGGAATTTACCAGATAACATTACACAGTTTTCTTTTACAGCGGACATCAAATCACATAACTTAGGTAATGTGTGCAGAGCAATACGTGTACACTTTACTATACGTTGTAAAGTTGACTATCATACTGTCTGCCTACTTTATCACAGCTGTTAAGGAGTAGTTACACTCATATACAGTACACTGAAATAAAGTTGCTAGCAAATTGTGTAAGCCATCATCTAACAACGACACACCCTGTAAATTGGTCAGTGGCAGGTGCACTATGAGTGACTTTCCATTCCTGTGTAGAGCTGCAAATAACTGATCTTAATACTACATGTAATGTAACCTTGACAAGTTCATTGAGGTAGCCTGTAAAACCACACTGTATAAATATTGTGGTTACTGCCATATGTGTAAAATAGATTGCAAGATATGTGTGATGAACATTTAGACAAGGAATCCATAGAGGTAACTGTGCCACATACATGTTTGAAATACATAATTAAAAATATAAACAAAATAAATATAGATATATATCCAGACACAAAAGGCCATTTCTTACTGATACAAGTTTGAGGTTAATTTTTTTTAAATAACTTGTTTATTTTTCTGTTTTGTTGTTTTATGCCTTTTTTTTTCACCCTCTATATACAGTCTCTGACAAATAAACATTTAATACAGAAAAAGGGTTCCCAGAGCACTGTGGGTTATTTATAAAAATAGAGCACACCAGAGTAGCCTGCTTTTCAGCTCCTTATAGAAACCTCGGACTCAGCTACCCAGTAAAGGGCAAGTCACAGCTTTGATGATTTGCTTGAGATCTGTACACATATGTATGATTCAGTATGGTTCTTTGAGCATGAATGAAAGTGACAAATACATACAGTCTTGTAAAGAAGTAAGTACACCTCATAGAAATTGTTGACTTTTCCAAAATATTTAAACAGGGACAGGGTGTACTTAAATTTTTCACATGACTGTAGGTGGAAAGAAAACTAGAGTGCAACCTGCTGGCTGGGTAAAACACTACATAATATTAATGTGCAATATTTACCTAAAATCCCATTTACATCTGTGAGATCCACTGTAGTGCTTTAACTCTCATTGTGTTACAGCAGCCATTTATTTCAATGGCCTGGCTACATACCAAAAATGCACTTGCACCATTTTTTTTGTAATTTTTTTTGTTGCACAACAAAGTACCGTATTGCATTTTTTTAGTGGATTGTGTGCCATCCAAAATAATTGTGCATGGTGCATTGCCATGTGTTGGGGTAATGCTTGTTACCACAATGCATATATGTGAGGCCGGGCCTAAAAGTAAAAATATATTTTTCTAAAGGTTATTTTTTAATCCTGACCAAAATCCACAAAGAAAGCAAATTTGCATAACACCACTACACGTACCCTCCAAGTAAATCAATTGTAATACTCTCAAAAAAATTAAGGACCTTTGCTTTTTTACACTGCTCTATAAAATTCAAATAATTTGGAAACATTTCACTTTTCTGTGAAAGTCTCTGGGACAACTAATAAGCACTTGAGACGCATTAAGCATACAAACAAATATCTAAGTGGTAATTTACCAAGCGGGCGGCAATGCTGGCTAGAACAACAACCTTGTGCTACCTAGAATCACATTGCCATAAACATGAAGGGTAGATAACATAAAAGAAAGATTTCTTACCTCTGTTTCTGTGCATGTGGAGTCACTTGACCCACCTGAAAAAAATAACATTAAATTAAACAGTATTTATACACATAAAATAAAAGGGAATAAGGCCTTGTTAAAACATGTGTGTAAAAACGTATGCCTTATAAACATGCTATGAACTAGTTTTAAAGTTCTGACATGTGGAGGCATTATTTTCAAGAACACAGAATTTGCTACACTCAATTTTTGGAAAGCACGCAGAATATAACTGCATATGTGTCAACTAACCATTTCATAAAAAATACAGTTCCCATATGTGGTTGCACCTCTGCACTATGGCAGCTATATGTGAACTTAAACTGAACCTGCATGCCCTCCTTTTAATGGTGGCCTATACTAACCTCTCCTTAACCCTTCTACTCCAGGGCCTCCATGTGACTGGGATTGAGAAGTATGTCACTCTTTTCCCTGCCTACCAAGTGGTGCTTGGTGACTGGCTGTTGAGACAGTTTGAGCCCTCATATAGCGATAGGGAGAAAGTTCTTTGCCATGTGTAAGTGCCACGTCATTGCTTACACAGGACTTCTTCTCCTCCCGGCAGGGGCAGCAAACCAAAGTGAAGAGTAGAAGCAGCTATGGGCACTACAACAGCATTAAAGTGGAAGTTCACTATGCGACTCATGGTGCCACCCAGCCCTACTCACGCTATCCACATCCTGTGCTATCCACATGGTGATAGGGATAAAGTTCTTTGCCCTGTATATAAGTGCCAAGTCACTGCTTAGACAGGGCTTCTTCTCCTCCCTCTTAGCAGTGGCAGCTGAAGTAGAAGTAGCTATGGGCACCACATTAGCATTAAAGTGGAAGTTCACCCTAGTTCCCCATGCAAAGCCCGTTTGGAATCTGCTTGAATGCTCTACCTCTGTGCCCTGATGTTGTCAAAGATATAGAAAGATGGGGGCCGAGTGATAGCATGAATTACACGTTATTGCTGGTAGTAGTTTAAAGTTTTCCAATGCTAATTGCTGGACAACTGAAGCGCAGACAGAAGTCAATTTATGAAGGTGCATGTGTTATATGGTTGTTTAAAGTGGAAGTTCATCCTAGAATTACTCAATGAACATTAAAGTGATTGCTTGATGCTTGGGCAAGGCAAAGGTCCATTTAAGATTTTCTTTTATCATTTCTCAGCAGCTTTATTGCAAAGTCTGTGAAACTTCATAATAAACCAAAGTGAAATTTCTCACATCAAGGTAATATATCACAGCTCACTTAAGCTGCCCATACACCTTACAACCATCGCACGACTTTCGTGGTGCAATGGTTGTAAGGTAATTAAAATTTCGTACAATCTGCACATCTTGGACAGGCAGATCGTACTTGCAATCATTGCAAGCCCCCACCACAGAGGGGAGGGCTTCCGATGATTGCGGTGCTGAGCGGGCAGTGTGCGCTTGCATTCGCCTCCCGAGCACGCCACTAACCCGCCGAAAATTGGACGATTTTCGGCAGGTTTTCAAGCGTGCTCAGAAGACAAATGTCGTGCAACCCTTACAGTAGAAGAGGTTGCACGCTGCCCATACACCTGCCAATTATCGTACAATCGTGGGATCACCCGCGATTATCGTACAATAATCGGCACGTGTATGGGCACCTTTATACTCACTAGGCACTGGATCTTTGGAAGTCGTTTTTCAGCATTGTTAACATCTGACATCACAATTAAAAGAATCTAGAGAAGGAGCTGTTTTTGGTTTACAATAACATTCTGCATTTTTTCTGGGTCTCTTAATATAGAATAAGACAACCCAACTGGCTGTTATGGATTAAAAAAAAAAAGATGTACAATAACTGAAAGTGTAGCCCAACGTTGCTCAACAATCAAATCACCCTTTAAAAGTACGCAAAATATTGAGGCACCCTGTCTAAAAACATTAAAAAAAAAAAATGACAAGTGCCCTCCCTCCTAAATCTATACCAGACCTTTATCCTAGAAGAGGGAATGGTATGGATTTTATTGGGGGCGGGCATATGCAAAACCATAAAACCCTTTTACATCAGAAGTCCCTCCTTTCACATCAGAGTCCTCCTTTAAATCAGGAGCCCCCTTTTACATGCTGTCATTGTCCATTGTCATTTCAGAAAGAAAGGAGGAGACATCTCTAAAACAAAAGGGGAAATCCCCTCTTAGAAAGTTGCCACCAGAACAGATTGCCCCATTGGAATATTTTCCCATCACTTTCTGTACTGGAGACAATGGTCACGAGGACCAATAGTGACCAATAGCAGGGACATAGGACAACAAACAAAAAAACCTGAAAGAGGTTGTAACCCAAAACTAAAACAGCAAAGTTTTGGTTTTCCACACTTGATATTTATCTATGTGTTTTGATGTGGCAGGCTCTTACTTTACCTCAAACTCTGTCCTAATATTGCATTATAATTACTCCAGTTCCAAATGTTGAGTATTCACGCGATAATCTGTATTGATCCGTCAGAGGAGCGGCTGTCTTGGCTTATATGACTGGCAATGCATGTCAGTAGTTAAAGTAAATGGATGTATCTGACAATATAAGTGACATAATAAAGAGTTGTGTTTGACAACATTTATCTGGCTACTATTGATGTTACACCACAGAATTTAAGCCACTGCTGAATAGTACTAAATAACACGGACAATGCCTTTCAAACAAAGAATGGAATATATTATAAATGCATGTCTGGCATTATGACAAAAAGCAAGTCTCACATCTGTTTTTTTACAAACATGAGTCTAAAGGCCACCATACAAATCAGAGAGCAGCTTGACATAAAGGGATGATCTGAAAACCCCAAGACATTGACACAGGCCAATTGATCTTTGTTAAAGGAGCCGGGCCAAAAAATATCAGGCAAACAGTTCAAGTTCGAGTATTTTGACAGTGTCAGAATAAAATAGCAAAGCCGGGGGATCCTCCGATCCAAGCCGTTTAGCATTGATGGGGGAATGAGGCCGGCAGGCTGGATGAGCAAAAATTATCCTTCCCTGATGTATACTTACCTCCATGACACGGCTCCCAACGTTGGAGTGACAGCATTGTGCAATGCAGTACAATCTGAGGGCCCATTCACTGCTAACCATAATGTAAATCACAATGCCATGTAATTAAAGCACACTTTTGCACAATGCACCTAGCGTGCCCTAGTGATTTATTTGAATGGCACCCCAATGCACCTCCCAGCTGCTGTGTGTTGCAACGCAGCACACAGTACCACAATACCATGCAGAAAAAAAGGAGGTGCATTGGGGTGCCATTCAAATGAATAGCAACAAACAGTAGTGCTCGCTAGGTGCATTGTGCAATAGCGTGCGTTAGTTGCACTCTATCGTGTGATTAACGCTATGCTTAAGTGTGTACACCATTTTAATGGCTGATGTGGTGCATTTGCCTCTACCCCCAAATCCTGATATGCAGGGGTTTACAACCATCTGACGGTTGTATTTAAATATCCATGTAATGCTTCATAAACACATAAGTGAATTAAATTGTATCGTCTCAAGTTCAGCTACAAAAAGGATAACAAAAGAACAGCAACAGAAATAAAATACAAAAATCGTGATTCAATGTCCATGATAAGGAAATAACAATCATAGCATCTCCTCCCCAGGTTATGTCATCAGGTCTGGCGTTCTGAATGAACCCTAATTAAAGATGACTAAAGCCGAGTTTTCAAGCACAAACCTTGCAAAGTTCCTGCAGTATGACCATGCTATTAAAACAGACAAAAGACACTAATCAGACATACAAGAGAAACCTGTAAAAAAATACATATTACAGTTCTATTACTTCATCAGCCTCATCAAAGCAGTAAATTGGCCTTGATCTTTTATTATGTCTTTGAAGAGGGTGGTGGAAGCTACTGTAATACATTGTACTCCACACCCACTAACAAATATATAGCCATGCTAATAATTCAGATTAAATCTGTAATGAAGTTATTAACACAGGATTTGACAACGCCTAATAAGCCCATAGGCTTTCCTTCTTTACATTTCTGGATATCACAAACCTTTAAGACCATGTTAAGCAGTCACAATGAAAGAACCTCTAAACCACTAGCGATAACGCGTGGCATAAATGCTGACTGCTCTTGCCCGACAATTGGGCAAGGAATGGGCTGCGTAGAGTTTCCCTAGAGGGCAGTGATGAATGCTTCTGACTGTGGGAAGTGATTGCATCACTTGATCCATGCGTGTTGGTAAAGTACAGAGCGGTTTCCCAACTTCCTAGAACATCCTAGAAAATTGTGCAAGTGCAATACGTAGAAAAGGAAAGGTAATATTAAAAGGAGAAGTGTTCGTAGAGTAAAATATACTATTTTCACAGTTTAAAAGTTGTCATGAGACACTACAGCTGCCACATGCCGGCACTATACCGAGAGCTGAGTGAACATGTAACTGCTGATCGGTCTCTTCTCCCTGCAGAGAGCAGTAACCATCATTCACTGACCATGAATTGACTTCCCCCTTCCCTCTGTCTATTCCTCCAGCCCTCATTGGAGGGACAGACAGGGGAGGACGCGGGCACAGCTAGCTCTGGTTCTAGAGAGGCCGAGCCAGCTATAAATTAGGCTGCCAAGGTGGATGCTGCCCAGTTGCAGTACAGCTCTGCGCTGTCAGCATATAGTGGACAGTAGCGCGGTATACTGTATGCTGACTTTGGGTCACAGGAGTACATTTGCAAATATATTCCAGTGACCCAGGGACTGGTCTTGTGGGAAAAAAAGTATAAGTATAAGTTTTTGTTTTTTTAGCACCTAGACAAAAACGAGCAGTTAATCCTTGCAGTGCAGGGTTAGCTCCACTGCAAGGGTAAAATGAATGGCACAGTACAATGCAATAAACCCCGCTGTAAACTTTGCCAACATATCTGCAAACTTTGCCAACATATATGTGACAGAAATACAGCGAGTCACAATAACAAAGCGTACGCCATTAAGGGGTCATACTCATGCACATCTGCTAACGTGGTGTACATGATACAGTGTTCAGCATGTGACAAAGGTTGTTACATTGGGGAAACTGCCC